TTATTACTAGCTACTCTTGCACGTGATGTCATAAGTTTAGTGAGCTCGTCAAACACCAGCCCTTTATTGTCTTCAGTCAATCTATCCACCATAGAACTCCACGTGATAAAGCTTACGTGCATTACTAGTATGAATAGCAACTGGTTTTCCAGATTCTGTGGAAGATGCAGGTCCAAAAACAGTCCACTCCAGTAACGTTTTTACGTCGTAAGGGCTTTTACTTTCACCTTATCACTAATCTAATACCCAATGTGCTTCTGGTATGTCTCAACCAATTAACAGTAGAACTTTGTTGGCTTATGTCCTGGTATACATGCTATTTTCGCCTTACCCTTACAACAGTGGATCAAATAAAACAAATATTGACTATAATCAATGACCCTTGACGATGCATCGGTCTCAAACTGCCTAAAACTTCCAGTACCCTCCTGGAAGTTCATCGAAATATCTCAAATCCACCTTCGCAAATTTTACGCCTACAACAGAGGCCATAGATATTTCAAGCCTTCGCTTCCCATCTTAACTAAGATTTTTTACCCATCTGCCATCGAATCACAACAAAAGTCACTAACGTGATAACTACACCTATTTGATTCTGAACCATGACACACAAAATGTACTTGCTCTGCTAAAGGCGATTCATCATTTAGTATGGCTCCATCAGAACCAGTTTTGAGTTTGACTTCATTTGACAATTGTTTGTCATCACGAGCGACGGAATAGAATATTTTTAGGAACAATGTTTGTAATCTACGAAACGTAAGCCAAATAACTTCCATTAATCACCAGATATTCGTTTAGAACTGTAGAATCCAAACATAGGTTTGGACTGAAGAATATAGATGTACATTATTACCTGAAGAAATATTACCAACCAGTTATTCAACCAATAACTGTTCAATCAGTAATCAAACCTAAATTACAATAAATAAACAAATTGATATAGAATGTTAGAGAATTACCAAGGTTAACAAATAAATGTTATTCTATCCGTTCTGGGTAGACCACATGCAGATTCGCCTTAAAGTTAATATTTGGTTGCACAGTGTGTTTCTAATTCTGTAAAAGCGCTTCAAGTCACAATCAAAAAATGAACAATTCCTGTCAATGCAAGCAACACACTCAAAGAGGAAACAAATTGATATGGTTACCGCCAAGACTTATTATCGATTAAAACAACATAAATGTACTTCAGGAAGAAACATGGATACTCAGCGAAAACGTAAGGAAAATAAAAAAAAACAACATTAAAATACAAATATTGCCACCACAATTGAAACCAAAAGAACTAACAGAAGAAACAAGAATCAATAAGAACAAATTACAATTACATACATGGAGGAATATTCACATAAAGAACCTTCAAATTGGATCTTACAGGATGAAACCGGGTTAACTTGATTTTTATCTGGTTGTTCAATGGATTTCTTTGACTAGATTGAGTGTGATGTTACATATCAGATCAACTTACAATCATGATAATAAGTAACATATCTATTGAAACTCAGTAGCTAAACACTTAACCAACATGCATATTAAGCGAATACTCCATTACTGCTTGTACAATTTCCTTTAGACATTAATAAATCGTCATTGAATGGTTTTGTGGAGAATGTGGAATTTTCATAGACTTGTAGTGATCTGCTTTTTTCTACAAGAACGCGATAGGTATAATAGAAACAATTATTATTATAACCAATTTAACCAGCAAATGTTTAACTGTACTCCTTGTTGTTTCACTGTATCAAAGTCACTTCTCGTTCCGCTCTCCATGTTGTTGGTTCGAACTTTCTTACGCTCTGCACTTATTGCCCGTAATCTTTGGTACGTCCCGGTATTCATTCGATACCACGAGACTGCCGATAAATATACTCTATCTGAACGAGTTACAGTCTTCTGGTTTGTGAGTTATCAAAGGGACCTAGTCGTTTTTGTGCGCGTAACCTCGTTGTAGTGGTGATCATAGTCCATCAAGACTCGACGCAATCTACAGACTTTATATAACAAACTGATCTTGGGTAAAGCCAGTTGATGACATAACCTATGATAACAGTTACAATTCTATAATACTGATGTGGTGTTTATATGAACTAATGATTCCTTTGTATTTGATGATTGTCTGAATTCGAATTCCAAAGACATTACGTTCATTCTTCCTCATCTAGTACTCCTTGGTTAAATTGCCCATCAGTACAGCATTCTATCATAAATACTATAATTTCGTATATGGGAAAAAACTACATTAAATTATGCCTAACTCTCTTACTACTACATGACAATCAGTAACATGACATTTCGAGACAATATTTTATCGAACGAAATAGAGTGATGCTAGTTACGAAACACACTTGTTACTTGATATAATGGTGTTTTCACTTCAGAACATGTTGACTCTCATAAATGAAAACACAAAATGAAAGACAGTAGATCCACATCTTTTTGCATTGGTCAAACTGAATATGTACTTTGAAAATGATTGATAAGTCATGCACCGAAATCAATATGTAACGATTCCGTTTTGTACAAAACATACGTTACTCATGATTATGCAGAAATACTGATTGATTCTCATCCAAATAAGAATTGTGTGCCATATAATAAGGTGGAGCTGATAGTTGGGATTCACATGATTCACTCAACCTGATGAATTGGGAGTGTTAGAGAAATGTTCAGTAGTGCAGATAAAATACCCGATTGACAGAATTGTAAAAGCCCTTAAGTACCAGACCAACACAGCACCAAAAACAATCAATAATCAGTGAATTAATATATATCCGTTCTGTGAGAGGTCATTTGTGGTTCGTGTTACACAATAATGGTAGATTGTATTGGATAGTTGAGTGATCCCAGTTCGGATTACATGACGACTAATAGATCCTTCAAGATCAATGTCACAACGTACAGCACATTGTCTACCGACATAAAACCTGAAATTCGAGCATTCGACTGACGGCGAACGAACACAGAACATTACTAGAATGTATTTAAATATTACCTTATCAGCACCAATAGTAAGGATGAATCGGAATTCTCATGATACTCACGTAGACAATATACATAGAAGGATCGGGATTATTCACAGCAGCTCCATAGAGTGATAAACTATGGAGATGAAAACTAGAAGAACTTATAGGAAAACAACAATCAGTGAACTCAATTGAAATGGTTGATGGTCATAGTGTTTATTTATAACTGAAGAAAGAACTTTTCATTAAATTGACAGACAAAGTATTTGTTTTCACCAAAGTTTGTTTTTAAAAGAATGTAGCAGTCATTAGTAAAATGAAAAATTCCTTCGTCTTTATTCTCTGTGTGTGTGTGTAGGCAATTGTCGATCACATCTATAACTCTGCGTAATTTGAAAGTAACATCTTTCATTTTATTAGAGACTTATTAGAGACTTTATCAGAGACTTACATTGTGCTCACACCATAATAGAATATACCTCATTATATGTGTGAATAGACAGGAATGTGGTCATAGATGATCACAAGGTATAATCAATGATATATTTCTATAGTCCATTAAGGTCAACGGACAGATATTTACAAACTGTACTTGCACATATGTTTATTATTATCAATTTTAGAAAATAATTTTATAAAGAAGAAGTCTATTAAGTTTAACAGAACTCAAGTAGATGTGATTTGAATGTGTTGATTGTTGATTGACTTTAGTGCTAAGCTTACAAACATTCTCTGGTGTCAACAAGATCAAGAGCGAGAGATGCATGCCATTTGTAGGAAAATCCGAACACTTAACTTATGCTCAAAAGTTGTACTGATAGTGTTGTTCAGTTATTATCAAACCATCTAGCTCAGAGAACAAGACTTCACCCGAACCATTCACCTGAGTCACCAATCTTCTCCACCATCTCATAGCCTCAAATCATAAAGTTCTCTTTGTTAGATTGCCACTGAAAAGTGGAGGTACGTGATGGTGGTTTCATCTTTCTTTGTGACCCCTTAATAGCGCGCATTTAGGATCATGCATCTAAGGCTACAATTCATGATTTTCCATTGGTTCTCGTACACGAATGCTTAAGATCATGGACCACTGAGACGAAATTCAAGATGTTTTACATATGCAACTTTGATCATTTCACTAATCCTCACGACCTTCTTCTATTGCTTACAGTCGATAATTGTTTCACACATGTTGTGGCTGAACCACATTGGACACAGTTTCTCACTAGAACTCTACCAATCTCATCTTGTAACTAATATATAATCTAATCACAATTGCAATCTCACAATGTTTCAGAAAGAGTTGATGGACTAGAAGCACATTAGAATTGGTATTTTCGATGTAATTGAATACATTTTCTTCTTATATTGTACCTGTTAACCCTGTTACAACATACATCCGAATATGTTTGTATATGCATATGCATTTTCTTCAAATACATGGATTTATACATTGTGTAAGTAGTTGATATTTTTCAGAAATACTCAATGACTACTTATTTGAGACAAATTTTGTGTTTTATCTATTTTGATTAGTTGTCCAAAAAGATTGGATATTTGCTATCTAATGACTGACTTCAAGAGATAATTCCTAGAGTTCTAGTGAGAAGTAGTGACCAATGGAGTTCAAACCGTGAATGCGCTCTGCTTAGGAGTACCACGTTATCACGAAACAACCGTATAGTGCTTCAAGGTTTTCTATGGTAGTCTAGCTTCAATCGACTGATGATTTCAACTATGAAAATACTGATATCTTCACAAAACCCCTTCTCATTATAACACTATTTATTTATAAGTAGTATGTTATAACACAAGTCATTTTTATATCAAATAAAAAAACAATTACATATATAATAAAAATCAATAAAAATTACATCATTGATTACATCAGTTACTATAGAAAATGATGCATCATTCTACAAAATAATATGACTATACTACTGAAATGAATTACAACAAGAAAATATCATTGTTTCTATGCAGCACAATAATAATGATACAAAAAAACAAATTCCATGAAGATCATTGATTCCTCTATTGTCTTTTAGATAACCAGAACCACACGATGAAGCCAACGCATACAAGGACGAGACCAATGACTGATGGTATCAAAACATATAGGTAATTAAACATTGGCTTGTTATCCTTCTGATCACTTTTGTTATCCATTTGTTCACTTTTCTTATCCTTCTGATCACTTTTCTTATCCATATGTTCACTTTTCTTATCCTTCTGATCACTTTTCTTATCCTTTTGCATATTCTGAAAGGAACAAACAAGCAAACAATCGAAATAGTAAAACAGATTTACAATATAGAATGATATTGGGAAAAGCGAAATCTGTTCAGTTCAATAATTACTTACAATCTTTGGACAATTATTAATCATCCAAGCCTTCGAAAGTGTATCACGACCATTACTACACAGATTAGCTGTTAAACACCAATGACATTCCATATCAAGTTTCGATGCACTTAAACATGCTTCATTTGAAACTTTCATGAAACAACTTTCTGGAAAAAAAAAGAACAATATATAGGTATTTCAAGTTATTAATTAAAAGATAAATCAAGTGAAGTTAAACCATTATGGGGAACCTGAATGCACTGTAAGGCTGTTTCGTCCTATTGTGTACTCCTCAGCAGTGCACATTGGTTATTGTGATCATGAATACACTTTGAATATAATTCATGTTTTATGACAGTATATCGCAATCGAACAAAACAATGTAGTGAATTTCACTGACGGTCCTCATTCAGACATTTACACTTTATAATGTCATTGGGTTAAACAAATCATGCTACATTGAATTACTGATGGTTGTAGAGTTTCTTCCCTTCACTTATACTGGGTATTTGGAAATCAGTACAAGAAAGTCAGTTGTTCGTGGAATAAAACGTGACATTGTACTTGCCAAGATTTCAATCAGTCTACTATTATTTTGGAAGGTTTCAAACTGAATGGTGAGATTCTAATCTATATATGTTATCAATGACCACATCAGATTGGTTGAACAACCAAATATTCATAGATCATACATAACATTTTATTCAATGAGTTTTGAGGAGGGATCTGAACAGTAGATTTGTTCCCATTAGTTGTATACACAGTGAATTGGAAAGTCTCTGTAGTTATTCATTGTACATACTGATGAGAAAGAAAACATTATCATTCTGTGAAAGTTGTCAGTATGTTTGATACTGTACAAATATCTACTGACTATGACAAATTGCCATTTGACTATGGTACTTATCTCTACCTTTAATTTATTGTATAAGTATGAGAAAGTAAACGTTTCAGAAATAACACTATTGTTATCAAAGTAATGACAATCACATAGAATGTTTCTGCAATTTCAATACCTCAAGGAACTTCCATATCATATGCATTAAATAAAAGGAACAATGGAAACTTCCTTGACACTGCATCCTCAACTAACTGTCAATCAATTTAAATCAAGACTTGTATCATCTAATCCATCGTATTGTGACATTATGGTTACGTAGAATTAATCAAAATGGAGACTAAAATATTCAACAGGGGTTTTCTAAAGTATATCGAATATTCAACGATGAATCGAACTGAAAAGAATATCCATTGAGATAGATAGCTACATATTGTAGACCATCAACGTTGATGATCTATATCGAATGATTGGAGGGAACGGTAAAAGGAACAAGCTAACTTCGAAGTCACACCTCTCGATCAGCACCTCACGTGGATTGCCCCATCCACTCATCAAGAGACCGTGGATGCTCTGAGGACAGTACAACACAAAGGACATTATTACAGGAATATATTAGTTAAAGTAGATACAAGCGAAAGTGGAACCACTGCCTCATGGGCCAGTCCATGGAGTATGATTAACTGATGCGCGTTGATTGTCCTTGATCTTAACGGAGATCAGTGATCTGTTCGATATTTAATGACCCAACTGCTGGGTGATTTCGCTAAAGTTCAGTGACATTTCAGTGGCCCAACAATATCATTTAATAACCGACTAAAATTACACTTGGTGTTCAATCATGAAAATAATCAATACTGATTCACTCAGTCTTCTACATACCTGTATTCGGTTCAAACTCCACAAAAGTACCACCTTTGATAAAGTTTTTTGGAATCTGAATTCTATTGTATGGTTCGAAAACAGAATCTGATTGAATAAAAGAAGAAACACTTCAATTTCATAAATTTCTATTGAAATGATAACAAATAGTTTGTATCATTTAACTTGTGAACAAAGTGAACAAACAAAGACACTGTTGAGTTTGGATAAAGTGGCCATATCAATTGAGTGAGTGCCCTCTTTAATATATGACGTGATGATCCCAGCCAAATCAGAGAGGAGTGAATGATCGATCAGAGCAATGACATACAAAAGCCGTAGGAACAGTCTTGAGTACTTATCAGTCCTGCTATCTGCTTAGCCCAGCCAGTTAAGTCCAGGACACCAATCTCAGCCTCTGCAATAGGAATCATTATTCCCAAACATATTGGGTTTATATACCAAACAAACTGACCACATCGTATCATAAAATAGAAAATAATATTTGTACAAGATTTGGTCAAATGTGGCTGTGAATAGGGGGAACAGTAATCAATAGACTGGGTATCCAACAATTGAATATCGGTCTAAGTAGTATAACCATCACACTGACGTTGATTTCTCAAAATACAATAAAGTTTAAATAGTACTCTCACGGAAAGTATTCCAACTTTATTTTGGACATTAGTTCTCAATACTCGAACAGTTTTATTTTACACATGGAAGAATAGACTGATGGCAAGGTGATAACTAGTTGCATTGTCGATATACGTCATTGTACATCGGAACATTCAGAAAAAATACCGGTAAAATTGTTCTTACTGTTTTGTTTGTCTAAACATTTGTATCGATAATCAATCCACGATTCCAAATTTTCTCCAACAATTTCCTTGGGTATCTGGAAATAAGCATGGGATATATAAGCCAAGATCTGTCAAACACACAACCACCTAGATCAAAAGCAACTAATCATTTCAGTAGTATGTCATTCATTAGGTCATCATATTCAAAGACAACTAGTCACACACACACACACAGTATGTATGCTAATATTATCAGTTTGCGTTCCAGGATGCTTCTTACATAGGTATTCTGACTTAATCTAGTCGTCCAAAATAATTGAGGTCTAATGTACAATCTGTCTTTCATGAGATGGTGCGATACAACGTAAGAGTAATAGCTACGTATGTTCAAATAAAATGTGATTTTGAATCATCCTTATAGATAATAAACAATGTTTCCAGATAATTTCCCATTATTTACGATGAATTCAGCCTTACAACACATCATCTGTTCCATCTAATCACTACTTTACAATTAATCAACAGCAACTGTATACTATACCAATGGCAAAGCAAGGGCAGTATTTCTACAATTGAAGAATACATGGAACTCAAAATAACTCTCAACTAATTTCAAAGTGAGAATCTTCAATACGAATGTCAACACAGTCAGTCCTACTGTACGGAGATAAAACGTGGAGCACTACTACATCCATCGTCAAGTAAGAAGGTACAAGTATTTATAAACAGTTGTCAATGCAAAATACTCAACATCCATTGGCCGGATACTATCAGCAAAAGCGTTTTATGGGAGAGGACAAACCAGCTTCTAGCTGAAGAGGAAATTAGGAAAAGATGTTGAAAATGGCTAAGACATACATCAAGGAAAACACAAATGTGCATCACGAAGCAATTCCTAACTTGGAATCCGGAAGGGAAGCGGAAAAGAGTAAGGCTAAAAAACACATTACGCCGGGAGATTGAAGCAGATATGAAAAGATTGAATGGTAACTGGAAAGAACTGTAAATGAAGGCTCAGGACAGAGTTGGAAGGAGAATGCTGGTGGGCGGCTTATGTTCCTCGACGAGGGGTAACAGGCGTAAGAAAGCAAGTAAGTAAGTAACTGTATACCAAGTAGGTGAAGGGCTAAACAATGATATTCAAATAACTATACACTCTAAAATGATCAACAATTTCATCAATAAACCTATTGCAACTATCCTACAATGAACATTTCACAACAGATTATCTTTGAAAGACGAAATAACGATTGTCTAAATTTCACTGTTTTCATAAAATGCTCTTATGTACAGTGTTTGTTTTGAATCGGTGACAGTACATCACATCGTCTCCTACAAAAGTAGTACACTTACAATTCCTAACCGTCTTCGAAAATAATGGTAGAAAAAAGTGTGTTGTTATTATTATTCGTTATAATGTCATGTCATGTGTCTTACTTACTTACTTACGCCTGTTAATCCCAATGGAGCATAGTCCACCGACCAGCATTCTCCAACCCACTCACTATGTCATGCGCCTTCCTTTCTAGTTCTATCCAGTTGTTGTTCACTCTTATCATACCTGTCTCCATTTTTCGGCGTGATGTGTTCTTTGGTCTTCCTCTTCTCCTTTGGCCTTCAGGATTCCTTGTGAGGGCTTGTCATGTGACGCAGTTAGGTGATTTCCTCAATGTGTGTCTTATCCACTTCCAGCAATTCTTCCTGATTTCTTCTTCCACTGCAATCTGGTTTGCTCTCTCCCACAGCAACTTGTTGCTGATAGTGTCTGTCCATCGGATCGGAAGTATCTTGTGTAGACAACTATTAATAAACACCTGTCTCTTCTGGATGATGGCTTTCGTAGTTCTCCACGTCTCCGCCCTATACAGTAGAACTATCTTGGCAATTGTTTTGAGCTCCAGATGTTTTTCAGTTGTAAATATGCTATGTCATGTGTCTGCATATGACAAAATGCTGATCTCCTTTTTCTCATGTTAAGTGAGTTATGATACATTGGACAGTAGTCAAGTGATTAAGACAGCTAATTGAAATAATTTGAAATACCATTACATCTCCATTCAGTAATATGACTTACATTGTTAAAGTAAAGAGACATCTTTCCATTTAAATGCATCACATAAGTTACCTCACCTCCTACAATTATAAAATGAATACTATCATTACTTAAAAATATTGAGGAAACATTAATAAACATTGTTATTGTTTGATTTCACATTGAATATGCCTATTCATCAAATGATCTAATATTAAAAGAATTTCAAGTCGAAATTATCACATTCAAGTGAACTTCAAGCCAATTAAGCAAACATGTATCCCTCAAAGTGAGTTTCAAACGACTAGTGTTCCAGTCTGAAATACACCGTCACCTTCATATTCAAACAATAAATCATCATATTCATTTAGTATTGTTTGTTTGAATCTTCCCTTTGATGTTTTAGGACTGCAACTGGTCAGTCTCTAATTGGCACATGTGCATACTGTACGTATTGCCTTAATATAGCCTTAATTCATTGTAGGCATGGTAAGCAAAGATGGATAGTGACTAGCAGTGGAATCCAGGATGCGCGTTCTGTTCTATTTGGGACTAGTCAGTTGGATGTACCTGTACCATCAGCTTTTCAATGACATCTAATACTCTAATCAACAGACATTGACATTTACGTAATATTTTTTAATTCACACTGAAAAACAATCAACTTCATATAGAGAATCAATCATAAGGAGTCTGTTGAGAAAGCTCAATCGATGGCAATCAGAGATGACCTGAAGGACAAATGCATTTCATTGACTAAGAAATGAATCAATTTCCTAAGGATTAAAGTGTGAATTTTATTCGGTAGCTAAATACACTTTCTCACTCACTACTCTTGTATCATTGCTCAGGTAGTCATTTGGAGCGTTAGTGTGTAGCACACCGCGTATCAGTATCAGATCAAGGAAAGCCACCTACTAGTACACCATGATATGAGCTATGGAGTGTTTGTTTACAAACAGAACTTGGAAAAAGAATTCTTTATGTAACATATTGATATACAAGTCGACCAACTGACTCTGTCCATAGTATTTATGAAGAAGATAAAGTTGTTTAATAAAGATGAGAAATCAATAGCTAGAGGTGTATTGTCAAAACGATTTCTTAACTTAATCTGATAATATTTAGGAATGACCATGAGATATTTGAATATGTAGACGAATGTGAATTTCGCTAACAATTATACCCTTATAAGCAAAGATGGATAGTGGCTACAAGTGGAATCCAGTTTGACGCACGTTTCGTCCTATTTGGGACTGGTCAGCCGGATGTACCTGCATCTCAGAGTTGATGTTCACTCTGGGACTCGAACCCAATAACTTTCGCTTCAAACGCCATCGTCCCAGAGTGAACATCAACCAGTGTGAGATGCAGATACATCCAGCTGACCAGTGCCAAATAGGACGAAACGCGTGTCAAACTGGATTCCACTGCTAACCACTATCCATCTTTGCTTATAATGCTTGTGAATTAAGGCTGTATGGATGCAAGAAGCACAGTATACACATATGCCAATTAGAGACTGACCAATTGCAGTCCTAACAAAGCGATGGAAAGATTCAAACAAGCAACACTAAGTGAATTTAATTATACCCTTATTTATCATAAAAGTTATACATTCTTTTATTTGTCAATTTTTAAGTAGAATTGAATTGAACAAACTTCAACAAACAAATTATGAGTTTTCATAGTTGAAAGCGTGAGTCAATTAAAGCTAGACCATCTAGGAAAACCTGGAAATACGGCTGTCCAGTGCTTCCAGGATTTCCATGTTAGTCTAGATGTAATTGACTCACGCTTTCAACTATGAAAAGTACTGAATTCTCCACAAAACGCCTTTCTGATAAAATGATGAGTTATTACACAATGAATAAATAGTGTGAATGTTGAGAGTTCAACTATGATCAAACAATCATTCATTCTTCATTTACTTACCTTCAGGATATACACTTTTCAGTACTTTCCGTTTGATAGCGATGAATTTATCTAATAAAATCAATATATCAAATAAAGTGTATACATATATCAATATTGATGATTTATCACTTTCAATTAAGATACATCTTTTAACATAGAATTCAATTGAATATGAGTTATGATCTTTCCTTCAAGATTGAAGTAGATGGATTCCATCGAATGAACGATCAATCTGATGATACAGATTCAAGGATTATTAATTATCATTTCAAAGAAGTGAGAACAGTATTGTACTTTTGTAACATTGATTCTAGAAACTTTGGATTCACGGATTTAACTAAAGATGGGGTCTCACGTTTTTCTCATCAAGTGGTCAATAACTGGAACGCATTACCTGAACAAGTGATATCAGCTCCACCAAGAAAACATTTTCAAGGAGAAGTTGGATCTTCACTGGAATGCAATCTATCAGAATTAATACAGGTTCATCAACCAACTATCCTTATTACTGAAGATTGAACTTAGAGATCACACAAATATTTTTAGCAATAGACACATAAAATCATCTTAAATTCTATAAATCTGATGGAAAACGTTTACTGCCAATCACTCAGAGATGTTACTTCAATGTTAATAATTATGTTGATTAACTGAAATGAATGAAATTGACCTATTCAATTCTATATTACTTGATGTTTTAGATGTAAGTGTCCGGAAAAGATGCCAAAGACATCAAATACAAACTGACATCATGGATGAATTCACTTATTTCTATCCATGTGATCAGTTAAATTCATTAAATCTATTGAGAAGTATTGAATTGATATAATTATCTCTCCAATTGTAGTTCGGAATGACTAGAAAGTATGTCATTTTAACTTTGTTTATTTAGAAGTGAATCCTCATTTCACTTGACAGTAATTAAAATGTAACTCCACCTGTAGCTCTTCTACAGTTACTGCCGGTCCGAATGTCGGGTAAATGTGAGATAAATAAATATTATTGAAGAATAGAAGAACTCACCATGATCATTAACCTCAAATGTGTCTTCAAAGGTGATATTTTGAAAAATACTAATTTGTCCTATTAAATCGTCTCCGTGTATTTCTATTGCACCTGTAATTATTTAATAGAAACATTATAGCAACTCTCTTACAGTTTGATTTTGATTATGCTTAAATTCTCTTAAACTCTCTTTTATTAACTTAACAAACAATATGGATAGTGGCTAGTAGTGGAATGTAGTTTGACGCGTGTTTTGTCCTACATGGGACTCGTCAGCTGGATGTACCTGAATCTTAGAGTTGATGTTCACTCTGGGACTCGAAACCAATACCTTCCGCTTCAAGCGCCATCGCGGCGACTGAGTTCGGATAGCAACTTGCTTGTGCAATGGGGTGAAGTGGGAATTCATTTAGTATTGTTTGTTTGAACCTTCCCATTGATGTTTAGAACTGCAACTGGTCAGTCTCTGGTCAGTCAGACTGATCATTTGCAGTTCTAAACATCAATGGGAAGGTTCAAACAAACAATACGAAATGAATTTCAGAGACAATGCCATATGCACAGTAACAACTCCTATATATTTCTATGTAGTATTATGATCACTACCACTATCTGTATAAATGTATACCCTCCACAAGGGGTAACAGGCGTAAGTAAGTAACTTCAAACATCGTTGGAGATTTATATAATAACGATTACAAAGGTGATTGATAAACGAAGCAAAGCCATAAAAACATACAATTTCGAATGATATTTTAGAGTGAATTAAATGGGGGGTTACTAAAATGACCAGTTTATTGTAAGATATTAAACTATAAACATAAACTGAATAAGAAATATAGACAGTTTTAGATGGTTTTAATGTCATAAAAAGCATTAAAATTAATATATTTACTAAAGAAATTAAAACAAATTTTATGCAAGACTAGTATATATGAACGAACCAATCAGATTTAAGATTGTAGGTCATGGATTTTTGGCGCGAGATTTATCCAATCATTTGTCTATATACTTTTTTGGTATTATAGCTGATGTTAGTTCGTGATGAAAACATTAAATATAATTTCTAATCTTAATATATAACTGTAAATCCTAACCTTAGTTCCTTGCAAAAAATTTTAACCCTTACTTACATACTTACACCCTCGTCGAGCCACACACCAGTATTCTCTATACAATCCTGTCCTAGGCAATACTTTCCACTACTTTCCAGTTAACATTCCTCCTTTTCATATCTGCTTCTATTTCCCGACGTAATGTATTCTTCTGCCTTCCGGATTTAAAGTTAGGGATTGCATCGCGATATAGTTTTGTGATTTCCTCAATGTATGTCCTATTCACATCAAACATCTTTTCCTAATTTCCTCTTCAGTTGTAAGTTGGTTTGTTCTCTTCCACAAAAGTCTGACGCTGATGGTATCCGGCCAGTGAATGTTGAGTATTTTGCTTGAACAACTGTTTATAAATACTTGTACTTTCTTACTTGACGATGGATGTAGTTGTTCTCCACGTTTCACCTACGTACAGTTGAACTGACTGTGTTGACATTCGTATTGAAGATTCTCACTTTGAAGTTAGTTGACAGTTGTTTGAAGTTCCATCTTTTCTTCAATTGTAGAAGTGCTGCCCTTGCTTTGCCAATCCTCGCCTTTGCATCTGCATCGGATCCTCATTATTTATCAATGATACTTCCTAGGTATGTGAAATGTTTAACCCTATACTTAACCTTAATACATAGATGAATAGTTTCAAGATCATTGTAAGCTTACTTACCAGAATTTGAAATGGATAATTCTTTAACTTTTTGACCATAATATTTAAATTCAGACTTTGGAGTAACCTTCTAAAAAAATCAACACCAATGGATAGTTAGTATCCCTTTTATAAAATATAATCAACTTACTTTAGTAGGCATTTCAATTTTGACATAATCTCCACTTACAACAGGAGGTGGCTGTTCAACAAGAACCGTTTGAAAGTATTCATAATGATCAGACTATGTAAATGGATGTAGATTAATATCTGACTGATGACTTACATATCTATATGAGACATTTTCTGAAATGATCTTTTCATATTTTACATTTTTGATGTGTTCACAAGTAAACTGACAATTAAAGAACTTGGTCAATAGAATGACCAATAAACAAGTTGGTATTAAGAAACTAGAAGGAAGAACGTATCTGAAAAGGATAATTTAAAAAAGGAATATTACATTATTGTATCATTGAATCAAACTGAGATTGGCATGGTTTACTTACTGACTGCAAAGTCTTAGTTGATACTTACCTCATCTTCACCGTTAAGGTAAGTACAATAACTATGTAAGTACTGCTCGGATTTATATAGACTTTTTTCAGTTTACGTATTTCTGTTTGATTTGATGATTCAAAATGACCAATAAAAAGGTTAGATTTAATGAATGTATGTGGTTATTGTTAACCAATGATTCTGTACGATGAAATTCATTGTTATTCAATATTCTTTAAGACCTAAGGGGTGGGCTTAACTCCGCTTGTAACTCTTCTATAGTTACTGCTGGTTCCAAGTCTGGGTAAAGGAGGAGGATTGGGCTTGAGATTAGCTACCTCATCCTGTAGAAAAACTAACTCGCTAAAAAAACGCTAACCAGAAAAAATAATTTAAACCATTTAAACTGTGCTCTGGGAGTTAAAGGAAGAATTATGATGCCTCATGAAGAAAGCCGAAATTCTTCGGAATTCACGAGGCCGATGCACCTTCTAACAACCAGAGCAACACTCTTTATAGGTGCCAATCTCTCCTCATTTTCATTTCTCTGTCCTAATCCATGTCGTCCAATTATATCTTTATATCCTGTGTTGTCCACTCCCACTTCAACTTCATTGACTATGAGAAGGAGTTTGACAGCGTGGACAGGAGAACATTATGGAAACTTCTTCGACACTATGGAGTTCCTCAGAAGATTGTCAACATTATCCGGAACTCATACGACGGACTACTGTACAAAGTGGTGCATGGAGAATAGCTGACAGATGCATTTCCAGTAGGGACTGGAGTCAGACAAGGCTGTCTACTCTCCCCCTTCCTCTTTCTTCTGGTGATTGACTGGACAATGAAGACTCCGACATCTGAAGGGAAGCACGGAATACAATGGACATCTCAGAATCAGTTAGATGATTTGGACTTCGCAGATGACCTAGCACTCCCATCTCATACACACGAACAAATACAGACGAAGACAACAAATGTATCAGAAGCCTCTGCATCTACAGTCCTCAACATACACAAAGGAATTGCGCGAATTGCGCGTTCTACAAACCCAACAACACACACATAAACTGACATGGCGATGATTCATACAGAATAACTGATCAAAATGACATGATCTTGACAGAATCACACTTATTGTGATTTGGATTGATCTAAGTATTCTGCCTTGTTCGTCCGTACCATTCAAACTTGTTTTAATTAATCCTGTTCATTTGAAACATCGCATTGTTAGACAGGAATATATCAATTTTGATGAACAGTTTTTGTCTTAACAGTATAAGGTTGTGGAAACTCTTGACTTCTTACTACTACGTCCCTGGGTTCGAATCCTACTTGGGGCACGGTGAATGTGTATTGTTATGAAGTCCTATACTAGGACGAAATGGCCGTCTAGTGCTTGAATACCGTTCGGTTTATGATCGTGATTCAAAACGTTTGCTTTGTATCAAAACTACACATGCTTCTTACGTTCTCTTAAAACTATTAAGATCGATCGTTTTTTATTTCATATTCTTCATTTTGGCCGTCATGACACTCAAACTTTACATCTGTACTTTATTTTAGACCACAATGTATTTGGCAACTACAACATGTAGTTGATCAGATTTGGATCATAATATTGTTGGATTGGAACGCATCATTCTTGATGAACAGTTTTTGTTTCGCTAAAACACAACACGTACTTCTTACGTTCATTTAAAACCGTATCTCCTAATCGGATATGTTCATTCTATATGAGTTGCCTGGATATTACCTTAAGTCGTAAGCATTAGAAGCAGAGATGGATTAAGGACAGTAACTTGAATACTCAGTCAGGATTATATAGTTCAGTATTACATATAATCATCATATCTATTTGAATTCCGTTAAATCTAATAGGTTTCTTCAGTGAAAAAAAAGTATTTTTTTAAACAGAATTACCATGGAAATACCTGAAAGTTTAATTAGAGAATACCTGTCTGTTGACCTCAATGGAACTTAGAAATATCTCATTAATTATACCTTGTGATCATCTATGACCATATTCTTGTTCATTTAACCATATAAGGGGTAGTATTCTATTGCGGTGTGAGCACAATGTAAGTCTCTGATAAAGTCTCTAATAAGTCTCTAATAAAATGAAAGATGTTCTTTTCTAATTAAGCATAGTTGTATAGATGTGACCGACAATCGCCTACCAACACACACACACACACAGAATAAAGATGAAAGAATTTTTCATTCTACTAATGATTGAGACATTTTTTTTAAAAATAAACTTTGGTGAAAACAAATACTTTGGCAGTCAATTCAATGAAAAGTTCTTTCTTCAGATATAAATAAACATTATGACCATCAACCATCTAATTTCAATTGAGTTTACTGGTTGTTTTCTTATAAGATCTAGTTTTCATCTCCATAGTTTATCATTCTATGGAGCTGCTGTGAATAATCCCGATCCTTCCAGACTCGACTGGCTATTATGACCCATGTATATTGTCTACGTGAGTATCATGACAATTCCGATTCATCCTTACTATTGGTGCCGATAAGGTTGAATACTTGAATTTCAGGTTTTATGTCGGTTGATACTGTGTTGTATGATGTGAAATTAATCGTGAAGGGTCTATTAATCATCATGTGATCCAAACTGGGATTACTCAACTTTCCAGTACAAGCTATGACTACTGTGTTACTCGAACCACAACTGACCTCTTACAGAACTTACTTACTTACGCCTGTTACTCCCAATGGAGCGTAGGCCGTCGACCAGCATTCTCCAACTCACTCTGTCTTGCGCCTTCCTTCCTAGTACTATTCAGTTGTTGTTAATTCTTCTCATGCCTGTCTCCATTTTTCGGCGTAATGTGTTCTTTGGTCTTCCTCTTCTCCTTTGGCCTTCAGGATTCCATGTGAGGGCTTGACTTGTGACGCAGTTACGTACTTTCCTAAATGTGTGTCCTATTCGCTTCCAGCAATTCTTCCTGATTTCTTCCTCCACTAAAATCTGGTTTGTTGTCTCCCACAGTAACTTGTTGCTGATAGTGTCTGGCCAGCCGATCCGAAGTATTTTGCATAGACAACTGTTAATAAACACCTGTATCTTCTGGATGATGGCTTTCGTAGTTCTCCACGTCTCCGCTCCATACAGTAGAACTATCTTTACATTTGTATTAAAAATTCCGACAATGGTATTGGTTGACAATTGTTTTGAGTTGCAGATGTTCTTCAGTTGTAAATATGCTGCTCTTGCTTTGCCGATCCGCGCCTTCACATCTGCGCCAGATCCACCGTTTTCATCTATGATGCTGACCGGATATGTAAAGGTTTTCACATCCTCCAAAGCTGTACACGATCGATCCTTACGGAATCCAGCCTGTTGACCTCGAAGTTGGGCGTCCACGGAGTCCTTCATTTTGATGGCAATGCTGATCTCTTCAATTGTTGGTGGGCCAACATCGGTTGGGTGGTCCGTGAAAGCTAATTTGATGTTGAGTGGGTTCAGTGGAGCTGGTCGACTCAAGCGTTGTTTGAAGTGTTCTACCCACATGTTTCGTTGATCTTCAATGTTGGTGATTATCTTGCCTTCCTTGCTTTTCACTGGTCGTTCTGGTTTACTATAATTTCCAGCAAGCTTCTTTGTTGTGTCAAACAGTTGTGTCATGTTTCCTTCTCTTTAACCCTTTTCCGCTGTCATTGCTTAATCTTCCACATATTTACGTTTGTCGGCTTTGATGCTCCTCTTCACTTGCTTGTTTACTTCCGTGTATTCAGCTTGTGCCCTGGCTTATTCTGCTGTTGCTCGGCTGGTATTGATTGCTGCCTTCTTGTTCCTCCTTTCTTCAATCTGATCCAATGTACCAACAGTGATCCATTTCTTGTGATGGTGCTTCTTACAGAACGGATGTATATTAATTCACTGTACATTGATTGTTTTTGGTACTGTGTTGGTCTGGTACTTAAGGGCTTTTACAATTCTGTCAATTGGGTATTTTATCTGTACTACTGAACATTTCTCTAACCCTCTCATTTCATCAGGTTGAGTGAATCGTGTGAATCCCAACCATCAGCTCCGCCTTATTATATGGTACACAATTCTTAGTTGAATGAGAATTAATCAGTATTTCTGTTTAATCATGAGTAACGTATGTTTTGTACAAAACGTAATCGTCATGTACTGAATTCCGTCGTGATTTGGTTGTACGAGAGATCAATGAGTTTGAAAGTAGTTGTTCCGATTGAGCAATCAGAGAAGTGGAACTACTATCTTTCATTTTGTGTTTTCAGTCATGAGAGTCAACATGTTCTGAAGTGAAAACACCATTGTATCAAATAACATGTCTGTTCCGTAACTAGCATCACTCTATTTCGTTCGATAAAATATTGTCTCAAAATTTCATGCTACTGATTGTGATGTAGTAGTGTGATAGTTAGGCATAATTCAATGTAATTTTGATAGTTGAGATCATGAATCAATTGAAGCTAGACCACCATGGAAAACCTGGAAGCACTAGACGGCCGTTTCATCCTATCATGGGACTCTTCAGCAGTGGATCTTGGATGCGCACTGCTGAGTAGTTCCACAATGTGACGAAATGGCCGTTCAGTGCTTCCAGGTTCTTCATGGTTGTCTAGCTTCAATTGACCCGTGATCTCAACTATATAACATAGGAGAATACTCAA